CGCGTAGTGCTGGCAGGTAGCCAATATGAACGGCCAGTCATCGCTCCAAGTTGTCATCAGCACACTCCACCGTGGTCTCGGTCTGGCCGGGACGATGACTGGCCCGATTCTGACTGGCCCGTGTTTAGCCACGGGTTTAGCTAAACTTGAGTGTTTAGTTGAATGGAGCCTAAAATTGTTGGTGTCTCGGGGATGTGGGACCCCGGGCCCAGCAGGTGTGTTTAAAGTCATCTCGGTGACTCTTACTGGCATTCTGTGCCAGTCCCCGAATGTGATTAATTTCACGGGCGGTGGTACAGGTGTTTGTTGTTGTTGTTGTTACTTTGTAGGTGCTATATTGGTCTAATTCTGTGATGCACCCAGGAGCAACTTTCTCATTTATAAAACGGTAAAATGAACAATGCGTTGAGGTCATCTCCCAATGAATGCATAACTGCCGTTGCCCCGCCTTTGAAAAGAAAACAAATATGATTGGGTATCCTTGGTGGGTACTTAGGCGACAAATATGGTCAGACTTCACGCGCTTCTAAGTTTTTAGGGTGGCGAAGCCATTGCGAGAAGACTGATGGAAAGAGAAAGTTTTAAACTGAATTCCAGTTTGCCTATGTAAGAACCATTGGCTTATTTAAGCCGAAAGTTTTAGAGAGAGTATGAGTTTTATATTTTTCTGATTAACAAGGCTGAACAGATGTCGCTTTGCCACTATCAGCTTCTTCAGAATCTCTAGTAAAGGGAGCTGTGTACTTTTGAGAAATCTATCCCGACTTCGGGCGGCAGCAAGGATTTGCTTTTTCCACTTTTACCGATTCACGTTACGAACAAAAAATCTGAAATCATATTTTAAAATTAAATTGCATAATTAAAATTATAAATAAGAGTGTAATAATTGACATCTGAATAATCTAATATTCATCAATCGATAATGCTTGTATTTATAGCAATGAATTCCTAGAGATATTTTACCCAGGGTGTCGTCAGTCAAAATTAAGAAGGAGCTTAGGCAGATTATCCTAATGTACACTCCAGGGTCTGATTTTCGAAGGGTCAAATGGGCAAGCTCTTTGACCCTTCCCTTTCACGCGCTTTGCAGGCATTTTTAAGAGTTACTTACTACCCAAACTTAGTCAATTTCTACCCGAACTATCAAATTAAGCTCATTCTATGGCAACTAGTATGTTCTGGAGAGAACATTTCCAATTATGTTTTCTTTTTAAATTTAAATATTTTTCAGAATATTTTGGATTTCAAATTTTAGTAGAAATACTAGGATAGGTTAAAAAAATTAAAAAATCAGTGAGTATTTTACATAAAGTAACATAGTATAAGATAAAAAAGAGTTCTTGGAAAGAGGCTGGAAAAGTTACCTTAATTAGAAATTTTTCAACTGTGCTATTTCCATTAGAATAACCTACTGAAGTGTATTTTTTGCTTCAATTAATGAGTATGTAATTATTGAAAAATAAAGCATAAAAAGAACTGCAATTATTTCTTTAAAATTCTAGATTATTAAATTATTATTAAATTATGATTTACAATGAACAAGATGGCATTTTTATAAACACTGTTAAATTAATTAAAATGACAAGACATAAAATACCGTGGAGTAATCCATCAGAAGAGATGATTTCTTCTAGATTTCAGAGAAACATTTTAACTTTCATTTTTTATTTATATACTTAACTATTGAATCGAGAAATAATTCCATTGCATTTATTTGGCCATATTAACTTACTTTAATTAAGATTTGTAGCAAAATCAAAACAAACTTCTCAGGCTATTTTCCTTTGCCCCTATTTTTCAGTTTCTTTTAAAAAGGGGAGAGAAAAGATCCTGGTTTAAAACATGCAAATTTATGTTTTATACAATTAGTACTAAATTAAACAATGAAAATAAAACATGAAAAAGCACATTTTTATTTAAATAAGTTGAAGTAAAATGTGTTGAATTGTAATCTTATTGAACGAAATACTTTTTATGGAATGTGCTTTATTTGAAACAGAATTTACTTAAAGGCTTTGAAAAGAATTATAGGTGGTAAGGAGGGCAAATTTGTCTTCTATTTATGCAAATTTTGTTCGGTCTTCCAATACGTAGACGTCACAAAAAATCTCTTCTGATTCCATTTAAAATCCGTTTTGGGAAAAAGAATCCTTTATTCTGCCCGTACATACAGACGTCACGCAAAAACATCGTTCAAATGGATTCGAGAGCGGTCAAAATGGATATTTTCATTGAAATATGATACCCAAAATGTTTAGCGATTACAATACTTCTTTTACCTTGTACAAAGAAGTAAAAATGAATCAAAGGTCCTAGTTGCGTACAATGGCAATAACTATTAAAACTGGAGAATTGTCAGGATGATTATTCAAATTCATATACAGAAGGGAATGGCAGCAGTTTATATAACTGAAGATTTTTTAATCAGCATGGATCAGGAAAATAAAAGTAATCTGATCTTAGAAAGGCTAAGACATTTCTGCCGCTAATAATGATAATATTACTTTTTACGCAGTTTACAAAAATGCATCATAGTAAAATAATTGTTATTTAACGTACGTTAAACTTTAAAACTCCAGGTGTTCGTAAAGTTTAAAACTTGCGATTGCACTTACCTCTTTTCTTTTGTGAGATTTCATTCACATACACATTTCTCACGAAATTTAACAAAATTACTATCAGCATATGTTTTATTTTAGAATGTGTATTGCAAACTATAAATATTAAAATACGATTAAATCAATGCGATGTGTCATTATTGAAAGACAGCACAGTATGTTATTACTCGAAATACGATCTTCCTTGTCTGTCATGCAATAATGCATTACAAAACGGGTAATATCTTCCTCATTGAGCGGTAGTGTATTAACTGTAGCATTTGAAAGGGAGATGAAATTATTTCAGGTATGAAGAAATTCAAGAAAACCGAAAAAGGAAACGTCAGTTTTGGTATTGTCGTCACTCATAAGCGGATGATATAAGGAGGAAATTTGTTGCTTAATACTATTAAATATTTTTGACATCATCTCTTTCATTAATCACGGATTTTTTTTCAACTTAAATTTTCCTCATTTCGTAAACTAAGATTATTTCTTTTCCTCTTATGAAACAACTACTAAGATATCCCTTCTACTAAATATAACGTGTTCCCTTATCACCGTTTACTCGTTACCCCGAAACAATTTTAAGTTTTGATTTTTAACTTTAAGGTTAGGAATGTAAGTATCATAAAATGCAAAATAAGAAAATTGTAAGGTAAAGGAATGTTAGTATCATAAAATGCAAAATAATAAAATTATAACGTATTTTCTCCCTCCTTTTCGCATGTCTTTGTGGTGTAATTGGAAGCACACTCGACTTATATTCGGGAGCTCCGGAGTAATTCCTGGCGTTGCAATTACGGATTCAGTTTCCTCATATCGAAAAATAATACGAAACTCTGTAAAATAAATCTCGAAATCGTGAACAATTAGCTCCTGTGCATATATTAAAGGCTGTTAAATATTTGAAAAACACCTGAAATTGAGGGAAATAAAATAATTTTAAGTTTTGACCTTAGGAAAGGAAATAGGTTTACATTACAATCAATAACGTAATGTAAAATAAATGTGCAAGCAACAGATTTGTCATGAAATAAATAAGTTTATGAGAGCACTTTTTTTAAATATTATCCTTGATCAAAATGGCGAGACATCGTGAATCAAGTCATATAGATCCTTATGGATAACATTAGACCTATGAGTAGAATTGCGCATGTATTGTAATATTTAATGTTTTAAAAGGGTGTTCCAAGCTTTATTTTAAGTAAATACTTTTACTTTCTGCATGCATATTCAAAACTCGGGACAGCAACGTTTTACGCGTATAGAGAAAACTGTACATGAACTGGGACATGGGAAGCTACTCCCGAAACCTCTCAAAAAAGATAATAAATAGCTAACATCCCTGTGATTCATACGAAGACTAATTTCAGAGGTCAAATGAATATTCCACCTTCCAATAGGTTAATTAATCAATAATATTCAGTTTATGACCTCATTAATCTTAAATGTTCTCTAATCAGGAATATTTACAATTTCTGCTTCCTTTCCGAAGAAGCTTTTATCTTATTTCTTATATAGTCTTTTAGGCAGTTTTAATTACGCAAGGTTCGAGTTTATCCAGTTTTTACTCTTCATTTCATTCAGATACCCAGGAAATTATACTTTAACATATTTATACCTAAGATGAAAACGATAACACTGAAAATTTTGGCTAGGGCAATGTTAGGACACGCAAAAGAATGGTGTGCGAATTCCAATTTCACATATTTATACCTAAGATGAAAACGATAACACTGAAAACTTTGGCTAGGGCAATGTTAGGACACGCAAAAGAATGGTGTGCGAATTCCATGGAACATGGAAAATCTAAAAAGAGTCAATTGAAAAGAAAATTTGTTTTAAAGGAATGAGTAAAAGTTACATTGCAATAAAAAATTTGTTTTTAACTTGAATGATAAGAAAATTGATGTAGCATTTACTACCATTTTCTAGTCATTAAAAAATATCCTATAGAAAAATTCAATTTGAATCCAAATATTACTATACCCGATAAATTATTTAATACTGTGTATAATAGTGCGTACAAACATTCAAGTTAAGTTAAAACTTTTCTTATGCAAGTATTTATATTTACTTGCGAATAAGCATATTTATTAGGCTAATTATGAATTAATAATGCGTATCCAATGCAAGTATTTATATTTATTTATAAACAAGCATATTTATTAGGTCTAACTATTTTCTAATAATGTGTAAACATCGATCAAATTCGTAAATCAGATGTTAAAAAATAAGTTTACTATGACTTTTGATTTGGAAGATTTAATTTTTTATTTGTATGCTTTTATTAAATTTTATGTTTCATGTTGTATATATATATATATTAATATTTATATATGACGTTATGTTCTGAATATTGTTCAATATTTGATAACAAATAATGTTACTTCTTTTTAGGATCCTGACGTGGTATTTACAAAGAAGCACGGTAAGTCTAAAATATTTTTCACGTATTTTTAATTTTTATGTGTCTTTCACATTTCAACCTCATCTTTAGATAGAAGGTTTTGCACAAAATAAGAATTATTCAAGACATAGCGATATTTATTAAATAATTGAAAGTAGTTGGCCTTTCACAGGAAATGTTTCAATTAGTAGATCACTCTTCATTCTATTGGTTTTTCTTTATTTTTTCCTTTTTTTTTAAGCTATAAGGAGTCTTGCTTTAATTAACCAATTATTTATAATTTCAGTTTTTAGTATAATTTCTCCTTTCTGCATTCCTCACTAGAATGCAAAGTGAGTATTTAAATTGAGGTTTTTTTTTATTATTATTATTTGAAATAGATCGTGCATCGCATGCATGTTACGTAGCTAGTTTCCTGCCAGCTCTACGGCTTTGTGGTTTCTCGCTGCTGATACTTTTATTCTGACACTCCAGTTAGTGAGACAACTTCTAGAAGTATTTAATTGTGTAGTCCTTGACCACTGTTAAGTGTATGATTTAGTTTGGACTGTTCTATTTTATTATGCATTACTACGAGTTGTGGAAATTATAAAGCATTTTTTCCCTCTTTTCCTCATGCCTTCGTGGTGTAATTGGAAGCATACTCAAAAGGTTCACGGTTCGAGTCCCGGGGAGGACACTGCACATTTTTCACGTTTCCTGCTTAAAAAAAAAAAAAAAAAAAAAAAAAAAAAAAAAAAAAAAACCTAATGACTCTACGAAGTTGTAGCACCAGAAAGTGCCTTCATGTTCTAAATTGTGTTTAAATAAAACGTTTATTGTAACTTTCTCAGGACTTGTCATTGTTCTCAGATATAGCGATAATTCACTTCACGTCTTTTACAATAATTAGACTGAAATAGCATTACCAGATCAAGTGTAATCCTATAAACTTTGTTTTATAATATGCTAAATTCAGATTGGACGAGATATCATAACTATATGATAATCACTTTTCCAGTTGAAATGGCGAAAAATTAAAAAGTTAAGGTAGTTTAATCCTAGACAAACTATGTTCGTACTGAAAGAAAACGGGGGAAAACAAAGAAAAATGAGAAAAAAAAAGGAATTAACACAGAGTTTTTTAATTTTCTCTACAGGCATTAAAAAGCTTATTTGAAAAGCCAATTTGAAAATTTTCCAATTCTAAACTGGAGCTGTGGTGAATTATATTAGGAAAGGTATTAAAGTATATTATTTGGAAGTAGCTGTTACATAAGTTGTTTCAAAAAACCTATTCAACTGAATATCTTTTGAACGCTTAACTCACGGCTCCAGTTCTAAACAACGAATCAAAGGTATGTAACTAGACAGATATTTTTGGTAACATGATTATTTTAAGGGGACAGCAGGGATTTAAGGGGACAGCATAAAAACCGAATTTCTTAAAAATAAACTAATGTACGAACTGAATTAATTAATAAAAATTAGTCGAATTTTTATTAATAATAAGACACATAGTCTGCATATAAGAATTTAAAACACACATTTGTCGTCTGATGTAAAAGGCATCTTTCAGAAGCTAAATTTTAAATTTCGGAAGTTATTTCTGGATGATATATTCACCTATGAAAAACATATTCTCATTATGCCTACCCCTGCACAACCTGTATATAAATTTAAGTCGTCGCCCCCTTTTATGAAGAGGTATCATGTTACCAAAAATATCTGTCTAGTAACATACCTTTTGATTCGTTGTTTTGAACTGGAGCCGTGAGTTAAGCGTTCAAAAGATATTCAGTTGAATAGGTTTTTTGAAACAACTTATGTAACAGCTACTTCCAAATAACATACTTTAATACCTTTCCTAATATAATTCACCGCAGCTCCAGTTTAGAATTGGAAAATTTTCAAATTGGCTTTTCAAATAAGCTTTTTAATGCCTGTAGAGAAAATTAAAAAACTCTGTGTTAATTCTTTTTTTTTTCTCATTTTTCTTTGTTTTCCCCCGTTTTCTTTCAGTACGAACATAGTTTGTCTAGGATTAAACTACCTTAATTTTTTAATTCAAAATCTGTCCTCCGGAAAGGTCATCTAATGATTTAATGTTCATTGCCTAAGATATTAACATAAAGAAGAATTTATTTTGCACGCAAGCGATTATCGTGGCTCACTAATAGCTTACAGCTGGAAATTTATCTGCAACATAAATAAGTGTTTTTGCGCCATCTTTTCCTTAATTTCTAGTCACGTAGTTCAGTCTTGGAAAAAAAAAAAAAAAAAAGTAAATTATTTCAGAATGTGACAGAAAACTGTTATATTTTACAGAAAAGCTTTTAGGCAACGGAAAAGAATTTGGACATGTACTGTGCTTGTTAGGACATCTAGAATTTAGTTTGTGTGTTTTAGAAAATATTTTACTTTTTTATAGCTTTACAGATATTTTATCAGTAATCTAAAATCTTTGTTTTATTTTTCTGAAAGTCTTTCTCTGTTTTCAACTTGTAAAAAAACCTTTTCATAGCACACGTATGAAATAAATAGTTACAATAAATAAATTAATAGTACCGTATATACCCGCGTATACGTCGATACCGCGTATAAGTCGACCCCCTCACTTCGACATAAAAAATTCGTAGAAAATAAGAAACCCGCATATAAGTTGACCCCCCACTTCCGAAATCGATCGAGAAACTTCGAAAAAATATTTTTAAGTACTACATTTATTCAAAATCATCTGAGAAAAAAAGTAAATATACGATAAAAAATACCTTGGTAAATAAACAAAATCAAAATCCTTCAACGTCCGATTCATGGCCAGATTCGCCAAACATTTCATAGAACTCTTCTGTCGTCATTGGATCGTCATCATACACATTTTCAGTCTCGAACTCTGTATTGTTACAATCACTACTAGAGCCTTCGTCGTCATTTTCACTTTCAAAAACAGCATCATCTTCCGTGCCGTCTAGTTCGTTGCTAATAAAACATTTTTTAAATGATTTTATAATCATTTAATCTTTAACAAGCATCTTTAACACACTGAGCAATTAATGCAATATCGGGCTTTTTAATGTTGCCTCCCTTTGTAAATGTTGGTCGACCGGAACTAATCCACTCTGCCCAATATTTTCTAACATTTACTTTGAAGGACTTATTGAGGCAGACATCTAGGCGTTGAATGATGGGTGTCAATCCTCCTCAGAATTACGGCAACAGTCGTTTTTAGGTGTTTTGTCACTTCTTCAGAAAAGTGTCCACGATAAGAATCGTACACTAAAAGAGAAGGTTTTTTGAAAGCTTGCTCCCGGTCTTTTATCCCACACATTTTTAAGCCAATCGACTGTTCCGTCAGCATCCATCCATCCCTTTTCATGGGCGCGAACCTTTGGTTTAATCGAAACTTACTCTAGTTAAAGTATGGAACTCTGTGATTAGTTCGTCACATAATTTAAGTCATTAAATTACTTCAAGTAAGTGACTTATTTGATAAGTCATCCAATTTGAGTGCGGGAAGTAAACAACTGCAAATGGGCGTGCTGCAAACATGCCCATTTCCTGACTAATGGTCCGTGATATGGTCGTACGGTTTTGCTGGGCTGACCTCATACTATGTCTGTCCTTTCTGGCGTTTGTCATGGGAGGGTGTTGAGCTCCTGCATGCAGTTCAGTATGACTCTCAGCTGTCCATTAATTCCATATTCGCATGACAGTGGTTGGATATCGACCAGTGCGACCGGCGATATCACGGAACGATAATCTGCACTTTAGATAGGTAACGATCCTGCTTGTATCGAATTTCGAAATATCTGGTAAGCATTTCCCCTTCTTATTCGAGCCATAACACGATATTCTGAGCAAACTCCAATCTTATAAAGCACTTTCCGAATGAGAAATCCACTGCACTTGCAGTGCCTTTGCAGTGCTTTAGATGTCGTTTCTCCCTCCTGCGTCGTCTAAATGCGCTGAAATACTAATCATTTGCATATCCCAACTTCATCTTCCTTTCATGTGATTTTGACGTTCGTCAGATCATTCCTTCATGGTGTTGCAATTTTACTGACCTGCAGTGTAATTTGCAATATTCCCTGCACTTTATTTTAATTTGTCTATTTTCCTTTTCTGGCCTAAAAAGAGTAACTGCTTGCAATAAAAATTTCTGAACTGCGTCATTTTAAAATAATCGATGTCATATGATTCTTACATAAAATCACGCAGAGGCTTGCATAAGGTTTCAGTCAATGATATTAGTTAGATGCCTAAATAATAATTATTAATTATATCAAAATGAAGTAAACCGAAAATAGCTCATTTTGAACCAAGATTTCATTTTGAACACGTCGCATTCGCTGTCAGGTTCTAGTTCTAGTTAGAGTGCTATAGTTTGCTTCTCTTCTTGATGCAATGTCCTTTATAGCGTAAAAATTTCCTCCAGAAAAATGGTGCTTTGCTGAGCTAAGTTATATACGCTGCATATATCGGCGTCAAAATAAAAATTTTTAACTGACCTTAATGACTACTACTATCTTTGTGGGTCGAGATTTAAATCATTGCATTTTTAAGCTACTTCTTTATGCATATCCACATCAAGGGCTTCAAAAATTATTGTACGCACTTAGATAGTATATATATATGAATGTAAAGAAAAAAAATTCTTCCCTATTAATACTTATACAGACAAGTAATACATGCTGAAAGATATTTTATTTTCCGCATAAGAAGCATGTTTCTTCTATTACCATAATATTATTGGTTTATTAGCAAACCCTCGATTCTCTAATGAATCAAATAATGCTTTACATTAAAATGAGACTTGAACAAGGTATTTGTGTCCTGTCCTTGTGTACTTGTATCCCACATTCAATCCTTGGTTTCAGTCCCCAATGATCTGTCTCGAATAATTTCTTTAATGCGCTGATATTGCTGTTAACTCTCGTCGAGCGCATGGAGAGACCTAACGTTTTTTGACTGCAGAACGATCTTTCTCAGATTGTTTTTGACTACTCTCATTTTCGAAAACATTGCTATTAAACACGATATTGATCACCTGACGACATATGTTCTGGTTTAAAATTGAAATTCCAATCCATTTTTCATTTTCTTACTTACACATATGAATATTTTAAAAATAATCGTTTTTTACGTTTGTAATCTCACCTAGTGTCGATGTTATATAATTTTTCTTGTAGCTCAAAATGACAAGAAACAAATAAAAACAAGAAGAACCAAAACATTTAAAATAAAATGTATTAATGAAGTTCATATTCCCAGTGTTTCTTTTGACTAAATAAGAAAGGACGTAATTATTATTTTTGAAATACCGCCAGCTGTAGCTTCCCCTTCGGGCCCCTTTTTTACCTTCGCCTTTCTTTATTCTTTGGCCTTTTTTTCTTTTCGTATTTCTAAATCGATCAATCTGATGTCACTGCTAACGCTAAGAATAACTAAAGTAACAATAAATAATAATAAAGTAAGCAACTCATGCCTTAAAATTCCTTCACCTCAAAACCAAGTCACAGAATGCAGATCATAAAGTCTAGTCTAGTCTGTACGGCTATTGCCAAAATGTCGCGCAGCTGCGCAACTTATCCGGCTCTTGAAAAATGAGCCCGAAGGGCGCATGACGCTTATAACATCCTATAGATTTGTATTACTGGAATCTTAAAATTTGCAATTTTAAATATATAAAAAAATCTTATCTGTTTTCTAAAATAAATGTTTTAAAACTTAGGACTCCATTTTAAATTGCTTTACAAATTGTTGTCATTTGACAGCTTTTTTTTTTTAAAAAAAAAAAAAAAAAAGAAGAATTAAATTTAACATTTTGATATTTGCCAGTGTTTTCAAATACTGAATTAGTATTTTTGTGCCTTAGCATTTCGCATAAACTTTGTAAAAAAACATACCAGTAAAACAAAATAATAATAACAATAATAATAATAAAAATTTGTAACCTTTTTTTCAGTTCTAAGTAACAGCAATTTCTACAGAGCCGCCCAGACGGTATAGTAGTTAGAGTCACCTGACTGCGATAACGAAAGGCCCGGGCTCGAATCCCGGAGAAGGCATGGATGTAAAATTCTCTGTCCCTTCGTATGAGGTAACGGTGACCGCCTATTAGGTGCCTCCACAATAAAATGGCCACTACTTCTGGCCTTAGAGTGGCCAATGCCGTTGTAGGCAATTGGCCGCCATTGGAAAACAAAAAACAATTTTTACAGATGAAGATATACAGAGGAAATCATTTGGGTACTTTCATTAGTTTCCATCCCAAATATAAACAGGGAATTAAAAAAAAAAAAATTGGAAACGCTCTGTAAACGCGGCACTGATGTAAACGTAACACTGACTGGGCATACGCATTTACCTTTCCTAATAATAACTTATAGATTTTTAGTTGTACAAATTTTATAATTAATTGAGATTTTCCTATAGCATACATAAGTGAAGTTTATTACAAGTTACATTATTATAATTAACACTCACAAAATTGTTATTTTACAGAGGAATGGACTACAAGTAAACGAGTTGTTAATCACAAAACAAAACAGGTAAGACTATTTTTCTCCCCAAACTTTTGTAAGTTGTTTTATACTATTTTATTCTACGATATAAGATTGCTCGTATATCAATTATTTTATTTTAGTTTACGTCTCATTTTATTTTATGCACTAAAAGTTTAACTAGATTCTTTTATAATTGTTTTGCGTCAGCAATGTGTGTTGGGTGATCTTCATTGCCTTGGATTCAAAGGATAAAATATTTTGAATGTGTCTTTTAACTAATTATCGCCGTCCTTTAATAAATAGATTACCGATATTTTTATGTTTTTAAGCATTATTTAACAAGACCTGCCTATAAATAGCACACAAAGGTTAGCAATGATATTTAAAGCCAGACTGCAGAAACTGTGATTGTGATATAGTCAAGTGTGGATTACTACTACGCTTATGATAAAATGTCTGAAAGATAATTTATGCCGTCACACTGATTCATAAAAAAATCTGCATGTGGCGTTAATAAATCTACTGTTTCTGAACATTATGCAGTTCTCAAAATTGATGTTTTTATTTCTGGAATTTTAAATTTGATTCGATTTTTTTCGGTTGCTTGATTTAATTATTTAGACTTTATTGACGAAATAAAATGAAAACTATAGTGCATAGAACAATGGTTAACTGTATTTTTTGTAGCTTTTATGGCAGTAGTAGTTGTTAAACATAGCGTGACCATTGTCCACCATGACATGTAAGAAGGAAGTTGAAAATGTGGTTTTAAAGAACGGTTGTTGCACGATTTATTACTTTGTTAGTGACCGTGAAATTTTCCGAATGTTCAATTGAAAAAACACGCAGCAACCGAAAATTTCTCAGAAATGTTTGCTGTGTAGGAATGTGTGTGTGTGTGTGGGGGGGGAGGATATAGAGAAGATAAATATTGGGGGGATATAGAGAAGATATATATTGGGGGAGAGATATTTGGTGTCGCTGTCGTAAATATTTGGTGGATTTTTCTCAATTATGACGTTTTTAACGATACTTTTAAGAAAATTAGGGTTATGGTTTGATAACGAAACTTTAAATTATATATCTGTATGCGTTGTTACCTTAAAATTTACTGTATCAGCCCATAAAATATATTTTACCTTTAAATTGATTGGTAAATATAGCTTATTATGCGAATTATTAATGAAAATGCATTATTTTTAAAATGATTCATGATTAATGGTCTTTCAAAAATGCTTAAAGTAATATCCTCTAGTTTTTATCAACCGTTTTGAAGCTAAAGCTACGTTTGGAATCCCGGCACATTTGCAAAATTACAAGCCTCAAAATTTGTCTTATTAGCCTTATTTTTTTTAAATAAAAAAATTTGTTTTTATAAAGTAATGAAAGATTATTACAATATATATATACCCTATGCGGTAAATAAATAAAAAAAAAAAAAAAAAAAAAAAAAACCTGAAAACTTTCAGATTCTATATTACGCCCAAAGGGACGTTTTTGTAAAGTTTTGCGTGTTACCTTTATTTATTAAATATTATGTTCTTCGCAATTAACCATAAAATTCAATCCAATAGGAATATCGCAAAATACTTAAGAGAACATAGCTTTAGAATTTCTGATACACAGTCTCGCGCGCTGGAGATAGAAATGTTTTTTTTTTCCTTCCTGTGCAGTGTTGCCATTGCTCGCTTTGAAGTCGATGAGGTTCTTAATCAAAAACTCCTAAATGCTTTACAAAATATGAAACAGATAGTAAAACGAATTCCAAATTTGGGCTTTCAGATGCCCATATTCGGGTGGAGACGTACGTTATTCAGAATTTGATGGCTCTAGGTATAGTTGTTTTATCACAATACGAGAAACATACATACATTTATGCAAATTTCTTTAAATATACTGCAGGGCTCTAATATTTGATGGAAACAATTTGAAAAGTGATTCAGACTTTTAAGGTTTTCGACACAAAATGCCAAAACGAAAATAATAGCCCTTCTGGGCTAATAAAAAGAAATAAATTTATATATATAAAAAAAACTTTCATGTCTTTCAAAGTTTACTTAAAGGTCAAATTAATTATAGTTTTATTAACTGAACTTTTTATTTTATTTCGTCGACTAATTCGAAATAATTAATATTATGCTGCTGAGAAAATATTGGCCTGAATCTGAAATTCCAGAAGACAAAAGTATTCGTTTTGAGACTTGGAAATTACTTAAGCGTAGACTAAATTTGCCTGATATATACACATCAAATGTGTAATTGTGACTGCACAAATTATTAGAATATTTTTCTGCGAGCGTAGCAATGATCGCAATAATCCACACTTCCTTTCCTACATTACAATCTCAGTTTATCAACTTTACTTTTCTGAGGGCGAAGTTAAATTTAAAATTTCTTCACATTTGTGAGTCAAAACTGCACGAAAGCTATTAAATTATTAAAAAATAAATATTTAAAAATTCTCAGTAATGATATAAAAACAAATGCTTTGCTTAAAAATTTGTCTTACTAATCTTATTTTTTATACAAAATATGTCTTCATATTTAGTTATTATCCAATTTGTAAGCTTGGAAAAGCTGTTCATGCTGTTGCTAGATGAAAAAAAAAATTTTTTATTTCTAATCGTTAATTCTTTCCATAGATTTGAAAAAAGATACGTAATTAATTTTAAAGTAATATTATTACAATAACTCATTTTATTTTTAAAATACACTGCACACTAGTCTCTTCAGAACATATGTACTTTAAAACAGTTATTTCTAAACTAATTTGATCGATTATAATAACCCTATTTTAAAAACACGTGATTTCGTGAACCGCTAGCTTGGAATTACAGTTTTTGTAATGTATTTAAATTGATGGATTAATCTAAAATTTTGTGCTCATTACATTCTTCAGAGTTTGTCAAATCATGGTTTTAATTGCTGTCAAACCAATACACAAATCATTTTCAAGACGCACCAATTTATTTCAGCGTTTATATTTCATTTTAATTCACGCAAGTATGACGTTAAAAATGAAAGCAGCTTTTCCCGTGTTAAAATATCAATTTGAGAAACTTCCGAATATACTTCGTAAGAAATTTGCTGCGATAATATAGAAAAGAAACAGTAATTTAGAATTTAACGGAAGACAGATATTGATCCTTTCGATTGTGGTAACATTAGCGATCTTACATAAAAATCTCAAATTCGCCGTTTTTCTACCAAGATCAGACTTAATGAAAATATAACAAGAAATATAATTTATCGTGCATAACAGGTATTAGAAAATGAACCTAGATTTTAAAATTTAACTCTATTCTTTAAATATAAGTGGATATGGAGATGACATTATACCAGTTACTATAATGAAAGACAAAATGTTTAACATCTGATAACATTTACGCTTATAAAGCAAACATGCAATGAAATTAAAAAAAAAAAAAATATGGAAAGAATTTTTATGTTTTCATAAGACTACAATGAATGGGCGTATTTTACATAAACTGAGACACAAGTTATGACCTTGGATGATTCTTTTTACTTATTTTATGCCAGTTTGTTTTTTCGAACCACTTTCCTCTGTTAACCACCAGACAACTCCTGAAAAAAGTACTTCAAGTTTGCAAGGTCGTCCATGACTGTGGAATATAAAGATTGGCAAAGGTCCAAGAAATAATCCCTCCCGGTTGTGGAATGTTTTGTTTCTTACTTCAACTCACGGATGTGGGCATCAAATGAAAACCTACCTGCAAATACGGTGGTGGGATTCTACAAGATTAAAACGGTCTGCATTTCTCAAAGAGAATTCGATCGACTTTCGAATAATCTAAAAATTTAAATATTTATCTTAAAGCATATTATTTAAAAAAATTGTAGATTAAATGATGAAATTTTAAATTTTGAAGAAACGTAGGAACAATTTCAAAATTCTCTCAAATATTTAATGGATTGTTCTTTCTTGAAACTCCATCGCATTTATCCTCATTCATTCTCACAGCTTCTAGATCTTATTTTATCAAAGAAGAAACATGATTAATACTTTAGAGTTAAGTTTTATGAACGAGTTTCTCATTTTATATGGCGCATATTCACACTGAACTCTTGTATTAAAACATTTTAACATGACTTAAACAAATTTACGTGCTCAGTTTTAAATATTAATATTGCGGAAGAACATGAAGTTATATTTTTTAGGTGTGTCAAGAAGAGCTGTTATTGAAAATATTTATTGAAGCTACAATATTATGCTATTTGTTATCATGGTTAATAAGCAGCTTAGTTATTTGAGAGTTCCTGACATTTTTTAACTTCAATGCATTTTCAGAAATTTCACAAATGTTATGTAAATCTGTACATTTCAGATTCTTTCCTAGCTTTTAATTTCTCTTATAATTGTTATAATTTCTCTTGGCATTATAGGTAATATTTTTCACTATGAAGATAATTTAATACTTGCGGAAGGGTTATTTCTAAAAGTAAAAGCGTGGTACAGAATAAGAGATATTGCTTTGAAAATAAAATGTATTCTTGTCCATTATAGGGTATGTATCGACCATTCAAATGAAAGCTTACAACGGCGAAATAATATTGCAGAATTTAACTGATTTATAAATGTTCGAACATGCATAGATATATTATGTTTATTCAATTGCATAATAGTTCTGTTATGGGTTTTTATCTAGAAGTTCTTTTATAATTTATCCTCACATTCGAAGTTTTAGTAAAATTGTTAGGGTACGCCAAGGCTGTATTTCAAAAAATTCTTAGTGCAAATAGATTTTTTCCCTCGTGCAAATTAAATTTACTATTCTGAGTAAGAAGCTTGCATAGGATTACACTTCACTGTTTTGCATAACACCACGCTAAACGCACACCAGTTAGAACGACCTTGTTCAGGCGTTTTATCATTCCAAGCCCTCACCCGATGAACGATTGGCCTTACGACCTTCAAAACGAAAGGTAAAGTTATGCATGTTTCCGATAGCTCCCGCAGTTGCGCTATGTACGTGTGCAAAAGAGGAAATATTCAGACGCTAAACCGCAAAAAATGAGTTCTAAAT